CTGGAACTAGAGGGGACGGCCCTGAATTGAGAACGATATTTTGGATTGTAAGCCCTCATTAACAAAAATCCTACAAATAAGACTGGAGTGAGTGGGAATCACACACATGAGCAGACAGTGTACGGAGGACGGAAATCATGTTTTCCGTTCTCCAAGCTCCATGGAGGTTCCGCCATCATTAGGCATGACATGGCAGCCAGAAGACAGGAGATAGAGGATAGGTGGCAACAGGACATAACAGGACAGTTTAGCGCACGAGGCAGGATGAGGAGCACAGGGCAGGAGATGATTGGGTAAAATCTTGAAGTACGCTGAGCAGCAGCCGTCATGGGGACTTAACGACGCACTCAGCTGCTGAGGCTATATTGGCGTCGCCTGCCTTCCACCCTGGCGGGAAGGGCAAGCACCACGGGGAATTAAACCCCATACCGCTGGCTTCCCTGACGTGCAGTCATTAACGCAGACGCGTTAACCACTGCACTATCGGCGCCTTGGGGGTAAACCGGCAGATAATATAGGTCAAGACAGGAGTTATAACTCCGGAGGAGTTATAACTCCTGCCCGTTATATCCAGAAATCGTCCTCACGGGCGCCAGATATGAAAGACTCAGCAATTATGTTTTTCTTGGCATTGATCACCGCATGACTAATGGAATGTGCAGGATTTTAATGTCGATATTATAGTGTCATACACACTGGAGTTACCTTGAAATAGCCTCCTTGAAACAGTCTCCACATCTTGGTGACCGTGAGGGTCAAAAAACTAGAGGGCTTTATTTCTTAAGAAGGGCAGGGCTGTTAACTACACCGAATGATCCTCAACATGGCTGTTTTAGCTTAAAAAAAACAATACAAATGTCGAGTGCTACCTTCAATCATTTTCGTTCTCTCTTTCAAGTCACCAGCCATGTCCATGTGCCGAGTATACACACAACAGACTGACGACCTCAAGTCCCAGGGGTGTAGCTTCCTATTTAGCAGCAGTCTACCCTCCCCCACACTTAGACTCCGGTCTCCCCAAATTTGCGAAGAATGTGGGCAAACTCACAGAAAACCCCGTTTAGGGGCGTGCTTCAGGGGTGCGGCTCTTAAATTGTAACTGTTCAGCCCCGCTCTCCTGCCAATCCATGTTGCGAAACACGCCCCTGTCACGTGATCTGCATCGAGTGGCATCAATAATTTTGTGCCGTCTTATGGTGCTTACTAGGCACACTTAAGATAAACACAAATGTCTCACGTATGAGGTTTCCCCCTCGAACTTTGAGAAGAGAACAGGCTAAATTCGTGGAGGAACCTATTTGCTGTCGTGATCTGGTGGCAATAGAGGTTATTTCTCACTTTTCAGCAGCTCACCTCCACCTGATAATTTTGTAAACTACGCCGATATTGTTTGTACAGCTTGTTTTTGATGAATCATTTAGCAATCATGACGTGCTATTTTGCCCCCACACTCTTCACTGCTCCTCGCCATCAATGACCCTTATATGGGCAAAGAACGTCATTATGTCGAACTGCAAGCGCTTGTTTGCGGGGAATCCGGTGGAGATGATCTGACCTCAGCCGTGCACTTGAAAGCACTTAGAGTTTTACATGTACATTTCACTCGCCTCCTTCAGCATCATTGCCCTCTGATCTTCAAGCTGACTTCAAGAACACTTACTTCTATGCTGCCACCGTGCCGTTGCGCTATTATTATGGGGCCTTGCCTGCCACCCGTCGCGCGCCCGTAGCTATAGTATATAGCAGTATGTTTATGTTGGCATTCTGCTTATCTGTCAGCTCAGCGATAAAACTTCGCAGTTCGTAGCCTTGCATCAGCTTTTCTCCACCAGTGGCGTTTATTATGTATACCGAAATAAATGCGCTCTATTGACTCATCTGTACTGCCATTTGAAACAGACTCGTATTTCACTCTGTACCGAGACCTTGTGAAGACCGATTTTTGGAACAAAATGAGCAGGCAAACCTGTATGTACGTGTACGCAGAAGATATAAGCTAGATGCTTAAGTGTCTGGTGCTCAAATAAACGTCACAAATAATGATTGTGATGTTTGGTAATTTTTCTAGGGTAACAGTTGCATGAGAAGCTGTGGTTTTAAAAGCACAAAGGGGGTTTTAAGTGACGTTGGTTGAGAATTCTTGTCAAATAGGGACTGTTAGTGAGCCCTCGCCGATAAGGCTTCCTTCGACCTTACTCTAAACGCTAACCGGACGGGGTTCGCATGCGAGGCGTCCGAGGCCGCTTTCACTCGGTTGTAGCATGTCTTAGTCTTCGAGGTAGCAGGGGATTTGCGGATGTGGTGGCCGGCTGACCGGAGAATTAACAAGAAAAACCCCACGTACCGGGGGTGTCTGGTGTACGGCTCACGCCGATGCTAACAACACCAGCCACCGTTGCCAGAAGATTGGAAAATGACGGATATGCTAGGACCCGTAGTAGGAAATGCGTGACATAATTCAGGGGTAGGGAAAGCGGAAGTTCTTTGCGTTTCTGCAGCGAGCCACTATGAAGTGCGATGGGTTTATCCTGAGATGCCTGTTAACGTTTTCTGCAAGTATCTGAACGTTTTGAGGCTGGCAAATTTTTTCAGAGGAGCTGAAAGTTATAACGAAGAATTATCAATCGTGAAAACGAATAAGGTTTGAATCGCTTTCGCAGCTGGCCACGTGAAACCGCTGCTGTGCGAGGTCATCATGACCTGTGGCCAACCGAAACCAATCGTTGCGCGCAAACGAACGCAAATTCAGTCGCTCTAGACGTAGCACATGACAATTTCGTATGAAAAACGTATTGCAGCCAGTCAGCTATGTTGCCCACAAGTTGCCAGCTTTATAACAAACTAAGCAAAACTCGCCCGTCCAGCGGCCTTATTCCTTACGAGTGCGACATATTTCCAAGTCCGTATATCTTACTCAAGTTCACCAGAAATTGATACAGCGCATGCAATTTAGCGATAACGGGATCGTCGCCGCCGGCTGCAAATGGAGCCCCGCGGCCCGCTCCGTCGGCCGTGCCGCCATTGCTGGTGCGGATCGGCTGACTCTCCGGCGCCGGACTGGCTCCGACGACCGCCGAGGCGAAGTCATGTCAGGTGCACTATGGCGCCGGCCTCGAATAGCAGCCAGGGCAGGAATGCCACCAGCACTGCAGCGTTCGTCGGCCGTCCTACCGTTCTCGGTAGGGCCTCCGTCCTACCGTTCTCGGTAGGATCACTGTCCTACCGTTCTCTACGGTGACCCATTGTTACGCCTGCCGGCTGGGCTCTGCTTTATGGCCATCACTTTAGGTTCAACAGGGCAGTGCATGTCGCGAAAAAAAACTGGCGCGTGATCAGCGACAGCGACGAAACCGGCTCGTAATCGTCCACGGGATGAATTCGGCGCGTGGTCATTGATAGGTCCGGCGCCGTGACGGCCGACTGTCGACGATAACAGCACGTTGGCGGCGAAAACAGCCGCGGGCGACGGCCGTCGCCCGCGGCGGCGTCTCAGCGGCGTCCGGCCGCGCGTCCCCACCCCAGCCGGCGGCGCCTCCGGGGGTGTGCTGTCCTGAGCAGGATGTGATCTTGGCTGTGTGCATTCACTGCCCGCGGATATATTTGCTTGGTGAATGTGAAAGAATTTAAAGTAGGATCGGCATGGTGGTTTTCTTTGACATAACGTGCGTCACAGTTTCATAAAACGGTTTCAGTCGCTAATTTACAGGCGAATGCAAAACGACGAGTTCCGAGAGCACGTACACTTTTTGTTCTTTACGACCCTCTTACCTGAACAGGCTAAACATACCCAAGCCAGTTATGGAGCTGCACAATGGGTTGGCGAGTTCACGAAACCACTGGACTCTGACAGCCTCATATGCGAACGGCGAGCTGAGGTGATGGCAAACCAGTTGCTTCAGTCCTATTTGGTTTAATGATGGACCCCACGTCTGTAATACAGAGAGAGAGAGAGAGAGAGAGAGAGAGAGAGAGAGAGAGAGAGAGAGAGAGAGAGAGAGAGAGAGAGGAGAGAGAGGGAGATGAGAGAGAGGAGAGAGAGAGAGAGAGAGAGAGAGAGAGAGAGAGAGAGAGAGGAGAGAGAGAGAGAGAGAGAGAGAGGGAGAGAGAGAGAGGGAGAGAGAGAGAGAGAGAGAGAGAGAGAGAGAGAGGCGAGAGAGAGAGAGAGAGAGAGGGAGAGAGGAGAGAAAGGTGTGTATATATATATATATATACATATATATATATATATATATATATATATATATGTATATACTGCTGCTTTACTGTGCGGGAACTTGGGAAAATTGACGGTCTCTCGTAATCGGGATGAAACTCCTGATAAATAGCCCCCGCCCGGTAAAAACTGCGAGAAGAGGGTTCGTAGCACGGCAACAAAAGCTCGTGATGGAGAGAGACTACCCGAGTGGCAACCATAGACGATGAACACTGGCTCGTATCATTGGGTGATGATATCGTCCCCGTGCCATATGTACATCGGGATGTTTGGCGCCCATGAGAAGTTCGGGGGCGCTGAATGCCAGGAGAGGCAGGAGAGCTACCAATTTAGTTCCGTAGAACCAATGGCAAACCGACCAGATATTGTCCCGTCTAAAAATGGAGAATACAACAACAAATCTAGACTGCTGGAAATACAAACAGACGAATCAGCACAAAAGGATGTCGTCTGATAGTAATTTGTTGATCTTTTTATTGGTACCAGTCATGTGACGAAGTGAAGATACTTAGCCTCAGCGACCCCAAATAATACAACAGCGGCTAGCTCAGCTGTCTGCGGCTATGAAGGCCTCGGCACCGCCCCGTCCCTTGCCTTGAACCGCACCTCCCTCCCTCCTCACTGTGTGGCGAACACTCCTTCCCAAAGAAACGCTGCAGCTAGCCACACGCTCTATCGTTGCAGACAGCAACTTCGTGCTGGGCAATGCCAAGGTGTCGTCGACGTTCCCGATCGTGTACTGTTCGGACGGCTTCTGCGAGCTGACGGGGCACGCTCGCGCCAGATCATGCAGAAGGGGTGTGCGTGTCGCTTCCTGTACGGCCCGGACACGGCCGAGGAACACCGCCAGCAGATCGAGCTGTCGCTCGAGAGCAAGACTGAGCTGAAGCTCGAGGTCATGTTCTACAGGAAAAACGGTAAGTCTGCCAGGCGGGCGCCAGTGGCCGCTGGTGACTGGGTATGGTGCTTTGAATCAAATCTGTTCAGGCGGGAGAGTTCTAACGCAATTGATCAGGAAGTACCGTTGTGACCGGTACAATGTTATCTTACGTCGGCTGCAAGAGCATAGCTATAGTTTTTTAGTCGAACCTGGGCGTTAATGTAGATGGGCGTTGGTGTAGTCATCGTGCTTGGCACTTATTGCTTGGATTTTTTGTTCAGAATTTAATGCATTATTTGTAATTATAATAATAAACCGACTTACCTGAAAAGTGCCGTAATATATGGCTGGCACGCTGAACGTGCATGCTATTTATGTTGTTCATTTTCTCACTTCTCAGTAGGGAGCGACGCGGCCCTTTTTGGCTTCCTAATGACCGTGTCAAGTTCCTTTGCCGCTTCTAGACAGGGGAGGCACTTCTGGTCACCAATTCATGGACGATTCCGTAGATAAGAAAGCAAAATGGCCGGCCCACTCACATGGCGGCCCTGTGTTCGCTGATGTACGCCTGCACCCACCGCGACGCGGTGTTTTAGGCTCGCCCTTCTGGTGCCTGCTGGACATCGTGCCGATCAAGAACGAGAAGCGGGAGGTGGTGCTCTTCCTGGCGTCGCACAAGGACATCACGCCGACCAAGGTGGCGCAGATGTCCTCCTTGCCGTATGAGGAACCCGAGGAGGAGCGGTTGTGCGGCGACGGAGAGCACGGTACGTCACGGGTAACTCCGACGGGAGCACGGCGCGTAACGGGTAACTCGGACGCGGGTACGGTGCGTCACGGGTAACTCCGACGGGAGCACGGCGCGAAACGGGTAACTCGGGCGCGGGTACGGTGCGTCACGGGCAACTCCGACGAGAGCACGGTACGTCACGGGTAACTCCGACGGGAGCACGGTACGTCACGGGTAACTCCGACGGGAGCACGGTACGTCACGGGTAACTCCGACGGGAGCACGGTATGTCACGGGTAACTCCGACGGGTAGCACGGTACGTCACGGGTAACTCCGACGGGAGCACGGTACGTCACGGGTAACTCCGACGGGAGCACGGCGCGTAACGGGTAACTCGGGCGCGGGTACGGTGCGTCACGGGTAACTCCGACGGGAGCACGGCGCGTAACGGGTAACTCGGGCGCGGGTACGGTGCGTCACGGGTAACTCGGGCGCGGGTACGGTGCGTCACGGGTAACTCCGACGGTAGCACGGTTCGTCACGGGTAACTCCGACGGGAGCACGGTACGTCACGGGTAACTCCGACGGGAGCACGGCACGTCACGGGTAACTCCGACGGTAGCACGGTACGTCACGGGTAACTCCGACGGGAGCACGGCGCGTTACGGGTAACTCGGGCGCGGGGGTACGGTGCGTCAGCGAAACTTTGACGAGGCACAGTGCTTCACGGGTAACTTGGAAAGGGGAGAAGGGTGCGCCACGCACTGCGCCTTCCGACAGACACGGCGACGTGTGTCAACCTGCTCGAATTGGTCTGCTCCTGGATGTACTGACTAATTATCTTCTGGTTTTAAAGAACAGAGAACGTCCAACGTAAAATGGTTCGAGGTCATTTACTTGAATGATTTTTAGTTATGGCATGGAACGAGGCGCGATCTCGCGAATCCCATAATTTTCTTGATCATAGCGCGGCTGAGGGCTCCAGTCCCTCCCGTGGACACGCCTCGGGGAGCGGCCCTAAGGCCAATCCCCTCAACGGAGATCAATGCTGTTGGCCACGATCAATGAGTGTCTGCGCGTTGTTGGCACATTTACTGATTGTGCGTTGTCATATGTAAATATGAATCGTGGCAAAAACAAACCGCATACTTTTTCCATTTTCAGGCATATGCGGGAATATTAATGCAAAACTTCTCACATTCTGCCTGTAGTTGATATCTGTTGTTACGTTACCACCTTTGCCTTTCGCTGTCATTTTTCCTCCAGTCCCGTGCAGTTAGAAAACGAAGCACGGTCCCTTGAGCAGCGGCTTGATCTGCTCTTGTCCCGAGGACGATTGGGGAGGGGGGGGGGGGGCAGCGCGTGATCCGGGTCCGCCCTGAGTACGGTTCGACCTCTCAGATCCGAACGGTAACGAGCTGGACGTGGAGGCTCCGCCGATCAACTACCAGCGGCGTCGGTCCCGCGCCGTGCTCTACCAGCTGTCCGGACACTACACCCAGGAGAGGAAGTCCAAGATCAAGCTCAATAACGTAAGACCGCCGCACGCTACGTCGGCCGCCTGGGGGTAGTTCAGTTCAGTGGCAGCACTCGCGGGTGGTGATGACTGTGGGTCGGGCCATGGGAGTCGCCGAAAGTTGGAGTTTCATGGTCTGCTCATTTGGACCAGTTGGTGTCTGTGAGGATGATGTGGTCACGCGAGTTGGTGTCTGTGGGGATGATGTGGTCACGCGAGTTGGTGTCTGGGGATGATGTGGTCACGTGAGTTGGTGTCTGTGGGGATGATGTGGTCACGCGAGTTGGTGTCTGTGGGATGATGTGGTCACGTGAGTTGGTGTCGTGGGGATGATGTGGTCACGCGAGTTGGTGTCTGTGGGGATGATGTGGTCACGCGAGTTGGTGTCTGTGGGGATGATGTGGTCACGCGAGTTGGTGTCTGTGGGGATGATGTGGTCACGTGAGTTGGTGTCTGTGGGGATGAAGTGGTCACGCGAGCCGTGCGGTCGATGTTACAGTCACTGCTGCAGCCGGGGTCTACAGCACCCTTGCCCGAGTACAAAACTTGCGGTCGATGTTACAGTCACTGCTGCAGCCGGTGTTTACAGCACCCTTGCCCGAGCACAAAACTCGCGGTCGATGTTACAGTCACTGCTGCAGCCGGGGTCTACAGCACCTTGCCCCAGTACAAAACTTGCGGTCGATGTTATAGTCACTGCTGCAGCCGGTGTTTACAGCACCCTCGCCCGAGTACAAAACTTGCGGTCGATGTTACAGTCACTGCTGCGGCCGGGGTCTACAGCACCTTGCCCGAGTACAAAAACTTGCGGTCGATGTTACAGTCACTGCTGCAGCCGGTGTTTACAGCCCTTGCCGAGTACAAACTTGCGGTTCGATGTTACAGTCACTGCTGCAGCCGGTGTTTACAGCACTCTTGCCCGAGTACAAAACTTGCGGTCGATGTTACAGTCACTGCTGCAGCCGGGGTCTATAGCGCCCGTGCTCGAGTACAAAGCTTGCGGTCGATGTTACAGTCACTGCTGCAGCTGGGGTCTACAGCACCCTTGCCCGAGTACAAAACTTGCGGTCGATGTTACAGTCCCCTGCTGCTGCAGCCGG